CACGTAACCTGCTATCCGGTGAAATTGCATAACTCTAGAGTGTTCAGTGGCCAAATTGCATGTTTTTTGAGTGTTTAGTGGCCTAACTGCACTTTTCTTTTTTCTTCAGTGGTCTAATTGCATTTTCAGGTTACATTCAGTGTCCAATTTAAACTTTATTCCAATAATGTATATTAAGAATAAATATTCGTGACAGGGTGTAACATTACTAAAAAAAATTATTATTCAATTTTCCTCATATATAAATAAATATATGAATACACACACACACACACAAATATATATATATATATATATATATATATATATATATGTATGTATATATATATATATATACATATATATATATATATACATATATACATACATATATATATATATACATATATTTATTTATTTATTTATTTATTTATATTTATATAATAACGATAAAGAGTTTTATATAATAACATTGCAAGTGTATGTCCATACGCACAAACATAAAAAAAAAAACAAGTATTTTTAACTCATTGCAATCAAATTTAAAACAAAAGAATATAACTAAAGACAATCGAAATTGACCTAATAACAACAATTAAAATAAAAAAAAAAAACTAATTGGACGTAATAGCAATTAATTACAAATCAATATCTCCAATTGTGATATTTTCTACTCTTTTAGGAAGTTGATAATAACAGTAGACAAATATTCTTCATTTTCATTGTTTCCATTGAATTGCCTAACCCTCTTTTGAAATTAATCGAAGAAATAAATATGTTTTTTTAGCTTGCAAATATATATTAATTCTAATGTTTAAATCCACTACACATTGCATTAAAATATTTATATTTATTATTTTTCAAGAATTGACCTAGCTACCACATGTGATAATATTAAGAAGTAAATTTAAAATGAGAGCATTTTGCATCACTCTTAATATAGAATATAATTCTCTTAATCATTAAATAGTAAAAATCTAATAAAATAACCATAATAAGTCATATAATGTATATTAGGAAAAAAATATTCGTGATGGGATGTAACATTACTATATAAAAAAAAATTATTCAATTTTCATCATATATAAATAAACAAATAAACATACATACATACACATACACATACACACACACACACACACACACACACACATTCATTTAAAAGAGAGTATTTTTCATCACTCTTAATAATTTTTTTTTTTAAAAAATGATGGAATGGCCGTCGCCCACCCCGTCGTTTTATATATTTTATTTAATTTCTTTTTCAATTTTTTACAATTAATTATTAAAAATTATCTTAGTTGCCAAACCACGTAACCTGCTATCCGGTGAAATTGCATAACTCTAGAGTGTTCAGTGGCCAAATTGCATGTTTTTTGAGTGTTTAGTGGCCTAACTGCACTTTTCTTTTTTCTTCAGTGGTCTAATTGCATTTTCAGGTTACATTCAGTGTCCAATTTAAACTTTATTCCAATAATGTATATTAAGAATAAATATTCGTGACAGGGTGTAACATTACTAAAAAAAATTATTATTCAATTTTCCTCATATATAAATAAATATATGAATACACACACACACACACAAATATATATATATATATATATATATATATATATATATATATATATATATATGTATGTATATATATATATATACATATATATATATATATACATATATACATACATATATATATATATACATATATTTATTTATTTATTTATTTATTTATATTTATATAATAACGATAAAGAGTTTTATATAATAACATTGCAAGTGTATGTCCATACGCACAAACATAAAAAAAAAAACAAGTATTTTTAACTCATTGCAATCAAATTTAAAACAAAAGAATATAACTAAAGACAATCGAAATTGACCTAATAACAACAATTAAAATAAATAAAAAAAAACTAATTGGACGTAATAGCAATTAATTACAAATCAATATCTCCAATTGTGATATTTTCTACTCTTTTAGGAAGTTGATAATAACAGTAGACAAATATTCTTCATTTTCATTGTTTCCATTGAATTGCCTAACCCTCTTTTGAAATTAATCGAAGAAATAAATATGTTTTTTTAGCTTGCAAATATATATTAATTCTAATGTTTAAATCCACTACACATTGCATTAAAATATTTATATTTATTATTTTTCAAGAATTGACCTAGCTACCACATGTGATAATATTAAGAAGTAAATTTAAAATGAGAGCATTTTGCATCACTCTTAATATAGAATATAATTCTCTTAATCATTAAATAGTAAAAATCTAATAAAATAACCATAATAAGTCATATAATGTATATTAGGAAAAAAATATTCGTGACGGGATGTAACATTACTATATAAAAAAAAATTATTCAATTTTCATCATATATAAATAAACAAATAAACATACATACATACACATACACATACACACACACACACACACACACACACACATTCATTTAAAAGAGAGTATTTTTCATCACTCTTAATAATTTTTTTTTTTAAAAAATGATGGAATGGCCGTCGCCCACCCCGTCGTTTTATATATTTTATTTAATTTCTTTTTCAATTTTTTACAATTAATTATTAAAAATTATCTTAGTTGCCAAACCACGTAACCTGCTATCCGGTGAAATTGCATAACTCTAGAGTGTTCAGTGGCCAAATTGCATGTTTTTTGAGTGTTTAGTGGCCTAACTGCACTTTTCTTTTTTCTTCAGTGGTCTAATTGCATTTTCAGGTTACATTCAGTGTCCAATTTAAACTTTATTCCAATAATGTATATTAAGAATAAATATTCGTGACAGGGTGTAACATTACTAAAAAAAATTATTATTCAATTTTCCTCATATATAAATAAATATATGAATACACACACACACACACAAATAAATATATGAATACACACACACACGATAAAGAGTTTTATATAATAACATTGCAAGTGTATGTCCATACGCACAAACATAAAAAAAAAAACAAGTATTTTTAACTCATTGCAATCAAATTTAAAACAAAAGAATATAACTAAAGACAATCGAAATTGACCTAATAACAACAATTAAAATAAAAAAAAAACTAATTGGACGTAATAGCAATTAATTACAAATCAATATCTCCAATTGTGATATTTTCTACTCTTTTAGGAAGTTGATAATAACAGTAGACAAATATTCTTCATTTTCATTGTTTCCATTGAATTGCCTAACCCTCTTTTGAAATTAATCGAAGAAATAAATATGTTTTTATAGCTTGCAAATATATATTAATTCTAATGTTTAAATCCACTACACATTGCATTAAAATATTTATATTTATTATTTTTCAAGAATTGACCTAGCTACCACATGTGATAAAAAAATGAAACTAAAATAAATAATTGCACGTCAAGATGATAATATTAAGAAGTAAATTTAAAATGAGAGCATTTTGCATCACTCTTAATATAAAATATAATTCTCTTAATCATTAAATAGTAAAAATCCAATAAAATAACCATAATAAGTCATATCGTGTTTATTAGAAAATAAATATTCGTGACAGGCTGTAACATTTCTGTAAAAAAAAATTAAAAAAAAACAATCAATAATTTATTCAATTTTTCCTCATATATGCTGCCCTATAAATATGGTATCATCTCAGCATGCATAATAGCCCACACAAGATCGATAAAGAATAAAAAAAAACCACAAATATAATCGATCTTGAGCACTTAGCTTCTCGTTCCTCTTTTCTCATTTCTAATCAATTATCTTGGCAACAAGGAGATTAAGATTGGTATATATTGTCAATCAATCAAAACGAAAAGCATCTCACTATAAAAGAAAGAGAGGGGTGGTCAAAAAGCTTAACGAGCTCACCGTTCTTTGTGATGCGGATGCTGCCATGATAATGTATAGCTCGTTTGAGCAGGGGCCAGTGATATGGCCTACTGGTGAAAGGGTTCAAGAGTTGATTGCTAGGTTCATGCAATTGCCAGACGTGCAACAAACGCGACGAATGATGAGCCAGGACAGCTTTGTTGCGGAAAGGCTTGAAAAGTTGGGCACTCTGCTTCTAAAATTGAAGCGAGAAAACAGGGAAAAGGAGATGAATGCACTGATGCATAAGATTTTTAGCGAAGAACAGATAATTGATTATCTGAGTTCCGTAGACTTAAACGATCTGGGTTGGGTTTTAAACACTGTTAGTGTTTTATTTGATCAAAAAACCCCAACTTATAATTGGCAATATTATTATGGCATACTAAGATAGGATTAGCTTAGTGTCATTTTTGTTCTACAGAGGACTGATCAATCAGACACAACAACATAGGGACTGACACTGAAGATTTGTTTTAGGAAGCTGATTTCTTTAAGGCTGCACGCGGTATAAGAAGACAAGTTTGGAAAGAAGATCAGCGTATATTTTCTGAAAAGGTATGGACCGAATCTTCAAGATTACATTCTTCAAATATAGTCCTACCATCTACAATCAAAGATATCTACGGAGAGTGTTTATTGATGGAACTATAAGTACTCTTATTCGATGAGAATTAGGGTTACGCTTTTGACAGAGAAGAAACACTCCATATGATTTTATGAGATACCATCTTTGATTCGACTACACCTTCTCAACACAATATGTGTATGCTGATTACGATGAAGAACATTAAAAGGATTCCTGTTGCTTAAATGAAAGGACAATACGATCACACAGTTATGGGAACAACTGAACAAAGCATCACTGACGTGAACTGCTTGGCTCTCCAAGAGAAGGGATTTCCTTGGACTTCTGGATGCATGACTCTCCATCTTCAACAATCCACTAAACCTGTGTAGATTGGGTACGTACCTTGTGTGGGGCACTTGGGTGAGATTGTTATTTCTCTACCTTTGTACATTGGATTATGATTTAGTGGATTGGACGCCTATGTGATCGTCCCCCAGACGTAGATACACACTGTATGGAACTGGGTAAACATTTTGTGTGTTGTTGTGTGTCGGTATCTCTTTCTTTTATCTTTACCATGATCTATCTTACTGACTGACCTCGTCGATGAATAAGTCAGTCTATTTCATCAGACTATTAATCCAATAAATTTGATTAAGAATGAGGAAATGCAAAATTACATGTGGTATCAGAGCTATTAAGTCTACATAGTGACTTGATCCTTACGGGAATTTTATTTGCATTAGTCTCTTTCTTTTGGAAGTGTCTCTGTGTGTTCGTTGGCTTGTCTTCTGTGTTCAGGATGGATTCAAGTATGAAACCTTCTGAACTAGATGGTCACAACTACTCGTTTTGGAAGGCTCGTATGGAGATCTACCTTCAAGCACAAGGTACCAGGGTTTATCGAACTGTTTTATCTGGATGGAGCAAACCAACGATTCAGAATCCTGATGGAACTACTGGAGAAAAACCCATTGAAACCTGGACAGAAGATGAAATGAATGCCTCTGATCTGAACAACAAAGCTTTGAACTCTATTGTAGGATCTCTGCATGAATCTGTTTTTACCCTTGTCACGGGGATAAAAGAAGCCAAGCGAGTATGGGAAATCCTGGAAACAAGATTTGAGGCACTAGTGATGTCAAGCAGTCAAAACTACAGATGGTACTGTCAGAATTTGAAGCTCTCAGAATGAACGAAGAGGAAACTATTTCAGTCTTTCACAGTCGGGTACAGAATCTAATGAATAGAGCCTCTATTCTTGGTGAACCTTTTGCTGATGAGAGAGTTGTCAAAAAGATCCTTCGATCTTTACCCAAACGCTTTCGAATGAAAGTAACTGCTATTCAGGAACACACAGGATGGGAAAAGAAGAGTGTAGGAGAACTCATGGGAAGTTTACACACATACGAACTTGAAGTTCTGGCTGATGATGCTCCTGTTTCCAACAGAAAGGGCAAGTCAGTAGCCTTTGTGGCCGAAGCTGATCGAGAATCTGACACAGATGACATAGATGATGAAACCTTGGCTCTTCTAACCAAGAACTTCAAGAATATTCTAAAAGGCTTCAATAAAAAGAGTCAAGGACAATCTACCAGGTCACAATACAAAGGTGGTAACTCCTCATATCAGAAAACTGAAACCGCACCGTTCTCACAGAATAATCAACCCCAAACTGGTCGGACAAGGCAAAACAGAAACAGTTCCTCAGATACAGGAAGATCTCTCAACCGATCAGTGCAATGTAGAGAATGTGAAGGCTTTGGGCACACACAGGCTGAATGTGCAACGTATCTCAAAAGAAAGAAAGCTATGTCTGTCACTATGCTAAGTGATGATGAAGAGGAAACTACAAATGATCAGTTAGATGACAATGTAGGAAACATTGTAGCCTTCTTTACAGCTACAGAGAATCAGTCAGATGATAACGAATCCGATGAAGAGTCCTATATATCAACAGATGATTTTGAAGAGAGACATCATTGAAATGGAATTTGCCAAACTTGTTGGAAGTTGGGAACAACTGGTGAAAGTCAACAAGAATCTAAATGAAGAACTGAGACTGAAGGATGATCTTCTGAAGAAACTGAACACAGATCTTATCCTAAAAGAAGACCTTATAACACAGATAAGATTCCGAGAAGGAAAACTGATAAAAGAATTGGAAGATTTGATGAAGAACATCAAGATGATGGATACCACATCAACTTTAGATAAAATTCTGGATTCTGGCAGAAATCCGAATGATAAAAAGGGTCTTGGATTTGAGCGAGGAGAATCTTCGAAGAGTGCTCCTGTGTTCATCAAAGAAGGTTTGTTAGTTCCGAAATCTGTTTACAGTTATGAACAACGACAGTCCTTTTAATCAGCTCAGGAAGATTATGAGAGGAAGGGATATAATCAAACAGCAGGCATTAACTTTGGTAGAACTGCTCTTCAATCTCAGTACTCAAAATTCAAAAATAAGTTCGTCCGAGTCAGATAATATACTCCTACGTGTCATTCTGTCAAACAAAAAGGGCACACCCGACCTGAGTGTTACATCTTCTACAGAGATCAAAGAAAGGAAAAATACCAGAACAAGACTATTACACCTTTCACAAGACAGGTCTGGGTCAGAAAGTCAGAAGTGATATGTTACCCCACGATAGTTCTAACTGCATCATTGACTGAAGCAAGATGGTATTTCGACAGTGGCTGTTCTAGGCATATGACAGGGAATGTGAAGTGTGTAATGTCCATCCAACCTAGCAGTGGGCCTGTTACATATGGAGATGGACAAAAAGGTAAAATAATTGGAAAAGGTACACTGAATATACCAGGTTTACCTCACTTAGAAGAAGTTCTGTTGGTCAGTGGATAGAAAACTAATTTGATCAGCATAAGTCACTTGTGTGATCAAAACTGGAATGTGTGCTTCAATCGCAATTGTTGCAGAGTTAGTGACAACACAGATCAGTTAGTCATGGAAGGAACCCGATCTTCAGACAAATGTTATGTGTTGACAAATGAAATTGCATGTCACTTATCAAAATCTGATGAATCAAAACTCTGGCACAGGAGACTGGGTCACATAAACTTCAGAGACATGGATAAAATGATCATACTAGACGCTGTGAGGGGAGTTCCTAAGCTCAGAATAAATCCGGAGAAGGTTTGTGGTGCATGTGCCATTGGAAAACAAATCAGAACTCCACACAAAGCTGTGAAAGTAATCACAACTGAGAGATGTCTAGAACTGGTTCACATAGATCTCATGGGGCTAACACAGATTGAAAGCATTGGAGGAAAGAAATATATATTTATATGCGTAGATGATTTCTCTCGATACAGCTGGGTATATTTTCAAAGAGAAAAATCTGAAGCCTTCAATGCCTTTAAAACTTTGTGCATCCGTGTTCAAAAAGAGAAAGATGAGCCTATAATCAAAATTCAGAGACTGAGAAGTGATCATGGAAAGGAATTTGAAAACTCTCTCTATTTGGACTTCTGTTCTGAAAACGGGATATCCCATGAATTCTCAGCTCCCAGGACAGCTCAACAAAATGGTGTGGTGGAAAGAAAGAACCGGAATTTACACGAAATGGCTAGGGTCATGCTACATGCTTCTCATCTACCACAGCGCTTCTGGGCTGAAGCAGTTCACACTGCCTGTCATACCGTGAATAGAGTGTATCTTAGACCTGGCACGACCAAAACACCCTATGAGATCTGGAAGGGAAAGAAACCTAACCTGAAGTACTTTCATGTCTTTGGAACTAAGTGCTATGTGCTGATTGACAGAGAGCAATGAGGGAAATTCGAACCAAAGAGCGATGAGAGCATCTTTCTTGGTTACTCTCCAAATAGTCAAGCATACAGAATATACAACAAGAGAACTCAATCTGTGATGGAATCTGTAAATGTGGTTATGGATGACAACCCAGATGAGTCAGTGGAAGCATCAGTATCTGCTCCTGAGACAGTGTCTCCTATCAGCGAAGTAAGATCCGTCGATGACAACAGTCAGCCCAAAACATTAGAATCCTCAGATGATGATCAAGAAAGGGCTGATCAAGAGAGCATTCATCCTGAAGATACACGCAAAGACAAACCTACTAGAACTCAGAAAAATCATCCATCAGACAACATCATTGGAGATCTGATAGATAGAATGAAGACCAGAAGCAGAATAAGAAATAGTCTTGTAGAGATATCTGGTTCTGCATGTTATACGTCAAAGATTGAACCAAAAAAGGCCAAAGAAGCGTTACAGGATGATCTATGGATCAAGGCAATGCAAGAGGAACTACACCAGTTTGACCGAAATCATGTTTAGGATCTAGTACCAAGACCTTATCGTGTCAATGTAATTGGAACAAAGTGGATCATTAAGAATATGATAGATGAAGCTGGGAATATTGCAAGAAACAAAGCTCGGTTAGTGGCAAAAGGGTACACTCAGATAGAAGGGATTGACTATGATGAGACGTTTGCTCCTGTAGCGAGACTTGAGTCAATCAGGATTCTGTTGGCTGTCGCATGTATTCTGGGATTCACACTGTTTCAGATGGATGTTAAAACAGCATTCTTGAATGGCTATCTGCATGAAGATATCTATGTGGCTCAACCTAAAGGTTTCGAAGATCCAGACCATCCATCATATGTCTATAAGCTTCGAAAAGCTCTCTATGGTGTCAAACAAGCCCCACGGGCATGGTATGAACGACTGACACAGTATCTGCTACAGCATGGGTATAAGCGAGGAAGTGTCGACAAGACCTTGTTCGTAAAAACTACTGGAAGTCATGTAACCATTGCTCAAATCTATGTTGATGACATTGTGTTTGGGTCAACCTTACAGAGATACACTGATGAGTTAGTGAAAGTCATGAAGGAAGAATTTGAGATGTCCATGGTTGGTCAACTGACGTATTTTCTAGGACTGCAAGTTAAGCAAAGTCCTGAAGGCTACTTTATCTCACAAGAAAAGTATGCTAAGAATCTAGTCAAGAAGTTTGATCTGGAATCGTGTAAACCATCCAGGACACCAATCTCCACCTCCACAAAAGTATCAAAAGATGAAACCGGTGTATCAGTGGATAACACAGTCTATCGAAGTCTGATAGGAAGTCTGTTGTACCTAACGGCCAGTCGACCAGACATAATGTTCAGTGTTGGAATCTGTGCAAGGTATCAATCTGATCCAAAGGAATCACACCTGATAGCTGCAAAACGCATTCTGAAATATGTAAAGGGAACGATGAAATATGGTCTCTGGTACTCCAAGGACAGTGAACTGAGTCTTGTTGCATACTGTGATGCTGATTGGGCAAGAAATATTGATGATCGAAATAGTACATCTGGTGGATGCTTCTTTGTCGGTAAGAATTTGGTATCGTGGCTAAGTAAGAAACAAAATTCAATTTCCTTAAGTACTGCAGAGGCAGAATACATAGCTGGTGGTGGATGTTGTACTCAGTTAGTATGGATGAAACAGATGCTGTTGGATTATGGTCTTACTCAAGGGGTTATGACACTCTACTGTGACAATGTCAGTGCTATCAATATCTCAAAGAATCCAGTTCAACATTCCAGAACGAAGCATATTGATATTAGGCATCATTACATCAGAGACCTGGTTGAATCCAAGGAGATTGAATTGGAATATATTCAAACTGACAAACAACTGGCTGGTATTCTGACCAAGCCACTAGACGCAAATCGCTTTGAAATTCTCAGGTCTGCTCTGGGAATTTGCAGGATTGACTAATAAGGCAGTTGGTCATTCAGAGGGGAGTGAAGGTTTAATCATACGGGTCAGTCTTATGACTTGACTTCCTTTTAAAACTCCTCTCTATTTTGTTAAGTGGATTCTATAACCTAAAATATCTTAAAGATCCTAATCTTTTTTCAAATTTCAAATTTCCTTGGCATCCGTTTCTTACCCAAAAAGAAGCCAAGAAGGTATATCGTTGTGTCAATCACATCGTCTCTACATGTTATTTGACAAGCCGCATTGATTAGGGTTCATCACCCTTAGGACTATTTGTTACCGGGCCAATCTTGATAGAAGAAAAATATCTACGAGTATCTTTGCACTCAGTCTTCCTCTCTCTCTCTGCATCTCTGCCTTCCTTGATTTTTCTCCACCTCTCACAAGACTCTCTAATAGCGGACCCTGTAAGAAATATCATCATCAAACTTGGAAGCAAGACACATTCTCCAGAGGTGGCCTTCAAACATATTCAGACATTATTGCAGTTTGCGATGAAGAAGAAACTCAAGCTTGACCCTCTTCTTCGCGATGAGATATTGGTGACTGTTATGACGAACTACCCAGAGTTTTATGCTGAATGGTCTGAAGACGATACAAGTGAACTGCTGATGTTGGTTTCTGAAGCCAATGATGAGGTTTCTCCAGTTTCTATACCAGAACCTTCGGACGGAAATCGGGCCGGGGCATTTCTCCGACATTTTGCACAACGAGCCCTAGAGTCTGCTGAGGTTTCTCGACGGCAAGCAGAATCGCAGCCCCTGTACCTCCAAGCTGCTCAAGATGAAACAAAACACAGACTGGAGATACTCCGTAACAGGTCAAACAATTCTTATTCTCCTATTGAAATTTCACCGGATAAACCTGATGATTCTGTGTCTAATGCTACTCCGTCTTGTGTGCCTGTTAATTCTGAAAATTTATCTGCTTTAAACTCTGAGAAACCCCCTGTATCTGTTGATCCACCGTCTCTACCTTTGGGTGAGTCTGATTGTGTGAAAAGTGGTGTCTTGCATGTGTCTGATGAGAAAGAAAAACCAACTGATGAGTCCAATAATCTGAGTCTGGTTGTGTTCTCTGCTGATAATATTGCTCTGCCCCCTGCTGTGATTGCTGATGATCCCAAAGAAATTTGCCCTGCTGATAATTCTTCTGTTTTACCTGCTAATGTTGAGTCTGTTGATCTCTCAAGCCCCCATAAGTCTGAGAAAAAGGGTGGAATCCCAGTCTACACTTCCACATCGTTAGATGAAAGCCTATAACATGTGCGACACTTTGCTGGCTTACCTTCTGCTTCCATTCCACAACCGTATCGAGTGATCCACCCATCTGAATCCTCGAGTGAAGATGACAAAATTCTGGCTGAGGTTTATGGTTCTCAAGCACCGACATCCGAGATTCCAACTGTTAAGGCCACTGCTCATCCTAATTCCACCACTTTCAAAATACGAGAGGTCACTAATCTGCTTAGCTTGGTGGTTCGTCTGCTCATGTGTCTGATTCTAGTCACTCTATGTCTCCTGTACACTCCCATCCAAGGAGACAAGACGGTCGAAGAGAAAGAATATACATGTGAAGGTGGTGGTTGAGTCTGGTGATGACACTGCGGATACAGATCAACCTGATAAGAAAAGGAAGTCTAGTGAGGCTGAGAAAACTGAGACCAATCCTCCTGTCCAACAAGTGTTTAACACCTTACGGTCTTTTGTTAAGCAAAAGGGTTCTGTTGCTGCTCAAACTACTGTTGTTCCACCATCTTCTTCCAGAAAAGGGAAGCCTGCTACTCGTGCCAGAGGTCGGAGTGTTACGCCTGAAGTTCAAGCTGTTGAAAGCCCTGATACGTCCATTTACAGACCTCAGTTTGTCTCTCCTACTGCTCAAGCCAAGTGGTCTACCATGGTCAGAAGAGATCTGATTGTCCAAAGATCCGTTGATGAGAATCAAATGAATTCGGTCTGTGATGTTCTGCCTTTGCTAAAAGAAGTTGGTCTGCTGAAGACTGTTACTGCCATCTGTCCTTATTCAAAACCGCTCACCTACGAATGTTATTGTAATCTCAATGATGAGGTGGACAATTTGTCTGGAGTGCGTCCAATGCAGATCTTCATTCCTGGGAAGTGGTATGTGTTTGTCACTGATATGATTAACGAGTACTATGGCCTACAAGGAGTCCAAGAGGAGTCTATCACTGATTGGGATGCAGTGGCGAAAACGATAACTGGTGGACAAGCTGACACATGGCTTACTGGAGATAAGGATACTCTACCTAGCTCTGAACTCACCTCCAAATATGTTATTCTTCATTGTCTTGCATTGCACAACTGGCTTTCTTAAGCTCACTTCCACACTGTTGGCAAGCAATTGGCCAGTCTCTTATTCAGAATTGGAATGAAGATGACTATTGATCTGGGGTCGTGGATCTGTTATCACATTCTCACTTTGATTCGCCCAAGAGAACAAAAGGTACGGCTGCCCTTTCCAAATTTGATCTTTGGTATTCTTACATCTCAAGGCCTTGAGCCTATGGCGAGTGAGGTGATCAGTCCAACCCTTCTCTACACGGTCGACCGGCGTTTATTGACTGGGGATCATATATGCGATGTTACACCGGTGAATGCCCCTTCCAATTCCGAGGCTGATACAGTGGCGGTTGACTCACCGCATGCACGTGATCTTCAACTCTCCATCCAATTGAAGGCAAGAGTTTCTGAGCTGGAGACAGTCCATGGCATAATCGCTAAACAGCTAACAGGGGCTCGGACGGAATTAGCGACTGTTCTTCTTCGTTTAAGCCTGACTGAAGTCGCTGCTGCTGATCCTGTGAAGTCTGACAGCGAGACTCCCTCCATCGCTTGACATGGCTTTGGCTCTCTTTTGGCAAAAAGGGGGAGTATGATTCAGGGGGAGTACTCAGGGGGAGTTGTTCGTGTACCTTCTGGCCCTGGCTAGGCGCTTGTTTGTGATGGCATCTTGTTGAAGAATGTTTTTCTTGACTTTGTTCTTGACTTTGTTTTTGATCCAGCATGATGTGTATGCTGTGTTTTTATCTCTGCCATGTAATCGAATATTGGGTTTGTTTTGTTTTTGTTATCCTATCTTAGTTTTTTGAAGTATTATGCTTTTTTAAGTAGTCGAGTTGTTTTGCCAAATAATAGCCAAAGGGGGAGTTTGTTAGTGTTTTATTTGCTCAAAAAACCCCAACTTATAATTGGCAATATTATTATGACATACTAAGATAGGATTAGCTTAGTGTCAGTTTTGTTCTACAGAGGACTGAGCAATCAGACACAAAACAGAGGGACTGACACTGAAGATCTGTTTTAGGAAGCTGATTTCTTTAAGGCTGCACGCGGTATAAGAAGACAAGTTTGGAAAGAAGATCAGCGTATATTTTCTGAAAAGGTATGGACCGAATCTTCAAGATTACATTCTTCAAATATAGTCCTACCATCTACAATCAAAGATATCTATGGAGAGTGTTTATTGATGGAACTATAAGTACTCTTATTCGATGAGAAGTAGGGTTACGCTTTTGACAGAGAAGAAACACTCCATATGATTTTATGAGATACCATCTTTGACTCGACTGCACCTTCTCAACACAATATGTGTATGGTGATTACGACGAAGAACATGAGAAGGATTCCTGTTGCTTAAACGAAAGGACACTACGATCACACAGTTGTGGGAACAACTGAACAGAGCGTCACTGAAGTGAACTGCATCAGAGTTGGCTCTCCAAGAGAAGGGATTTCCTTGGACTTCTGGATGCATGGCTCTCCATCTTCAACAATCCACTAAACTTGTATAGACTGGGTACGTACCTAGTGTGGGGCACTTGGGTGAGATTGTTATTTCTCTACCTTTGTACATTGGATTATGATTTAGTGGATTGGACGCCTATGTGATCGTCCCCCAGACGTAGATACACACTGTATGGAACTGGGTAAACATTTTGTGTGTTGTTGTGTGTCGGTATCTCTTTCTTTTATCTTTACCATGATCTATCTTAGTGACTGACCTCGTCGATGAATCAGTCAGTCTATTTCATCATACTATTAATCCAGTAAACTTGATTAAGAATGTGGAAATGCAAAATTACAAACATGAATATCGCTGAAAGTGTTATGAGGATTGAAAGATATTCCCCAACTCCGGCTCCTTTTCTCCCTGTTGCTCCTTCTCTTGCAACAGCCTCACCTCCTGTTCTTGGGTCTGGGACTAGCAATGTGGTTGCTCCGGCGGATGTGTTTTCCGGGCAAAGCTATCAAGGCACGGTGGGTATACAAACTCCCATGTCTGCCAATCTTAATCTTGGAACCCCGTGGAGTTATCAAAAATGGGCTTTTATGAATGACAGTAATCAAAATCCTTATACATTTTGCAAACGTCTTTAATGTTGTCTCATGTTTTTAAATTTTATGCTGTTTTGTATTTTAATGCTGTTATTCATCTCCCTTTTACATATCTATTATATACTCATATACATACAATCCCCAAGCAATACCGGGCAAACACCGCGTGAGAACTAATGAGTTGATAGGCCAAATTACAACAAAACATTCTTTGTATCTTTTTAATTTAGAATTAAATGTCCATAATGCCTTTATTCAACAAAATTTATTCATTATCAAAAAAATTAAAAATGGAAATAATTTGATTAGTTATATTATCATTATTTTAATTTTAATTTCTACAATGCGAAAAGTATATATTCCTTACCTTCAAATTCATTAATATTAATTATATTCACTACATTTTTTATTGTCTTTTTTACACTATCTTGTAATTAAATATCAAAGTTATAATACAAAATACGTTATGTATTTATTTACCAAATATAGTATTAATACCATGCAAAAAAAAATAAAAAAAATAGCTTGAACAAGGCCAGGGGATAGAAATGTGGATAGGGAAAAATTCGGGGAACGAGGCCGGGGGATAGAAATACCCCACCCTACCATGATTCTTATAACAACAACAACAACAATATTATTATTATTATTATTATTATTATTATTATTATTATTATTATTATTATTATTATTATTATTATTATATTGTTGTAGAGTGCTTGTATTGTATTTATACAGAGACGGTATCGGAGTAGGGGCGAAGTTTAAATAACGTTAGAAATGTCAATGACAAAATATCAAACAATCATAATAAGGTTAAAATACAAAATATATTATAAATTACAATAAAATGTTTTTGATACAAATATAAAAAATCAAAGTTCATATCCCTTTGCATTGACACAAATTATAATAGAAAGATGATTAATGACATATCTATTGTTCCAAGAATTAAATTAGACACAATTAATTGCACATGCAAAATCCTTCTCAAAATACAAAAATATAAAAAATACAAAAATACAAAACACATTGATACTATCCAATTTTGTTGCCACATGCAACAATTATCGTTCATCATGGGTAGGGACACTATTACTGAGATAATCACTTCTATACAAAATGCTAAATGTGCTTAAACTTAGGCACTACCGCAACTAAAGTTTATGCATAAGTCCAACTTAAATAGGAACTAATGTAATTCCATTCTGAGTAGAGTCTATTCACCCCCCCCCCCCCCCCCCCCTCTAGACTCACTTTCGACCCTACCGGGACCAACACATTGAGCGCAGAAGAAACGATCGCCGGAAATGGAGAGAAGCGCATCAGAGAAGAAAGAAAAGATGAGTAAAATGACAAAAATATCCTCATTATTTGACCTATTAAATATTTTTGGTGACATTTGGCCCGCAATTTGGCTAGCGTGACCAAAATTGAAAGAAATTGCATAGTCAAGGTACTAAATTAACATTTTTGAAAGTCAATTGTTGCAATTAACACAACTCCAATAGTTAGCGGACTAAAATTGAAATTTACTCGATCTGCATAATGTTTATGTATCTTGTGCTATTATGAGTTTATGTGTCTTATTTTATGAATTTATGTATCTATGGAGTATAAATTATGTGTTTAGTATAAAATGGTGTAAAAGATGATAATGATTCTTACGCACTTAGATTGTGTAATTTTGCTAGATACATTGAAGACTTTATTTTTATGCGGAGCATTGTTAAATTTATTTGGCATACCAGTATCCTCCTCTACTTAGAAATATGATCTTCATTGTATATATGATTCAATCTCTATTTTATTTAAACTTGTGTGTTTTGCAGATGATCAGTTAATCCTCCCCAATATATATAATGAGGTAAAAATATCATGGGGTGAATAATAAAATTATTGAAAAAATTTAAGAGTGGAGTTCATTTTATAATTATTGGAAATTTGAAAGTTGATGTAGGGTGTGGATGTGACCTCACTTTTTACAGAGGAGATGTTCTCACCTGAACTCTTCCCTATATGCGCACACACCCTCACCAAATATTGTCTTTCTTTTATAATTGTTGTATATTAATTTGAATATAGTAATTTGCTTCTTATTAATTCTTAAAAGTACGTATGAATAGTAAATTGATTATATTTATTGCCATTGAGACATAAATTCAACATAACAGTGACTAATAGTAATAGGATGCATATTTAATTTCTATTTGATGTTGCATCATTTTTTTGTTGCTTATTTTTCTTTTTCAAAATGTAAATCTCATAAAATTATCTTATTCTTATATGTTACCTCTTTCGCAAGTTGTTACACTAGATTTTATTGTTGAGTTAGGATTTTGATTTGAATGCTTAACATTAATTGTGCCTCTTTTGCCCGTTCTTACACAAGATTTTATTGTGGAGTTAGGTTTTTATTTGGGTGCTTAACATTAGTTGTGCTCTAGTTGAGATGCTAATGTCCGCTAGCACTTAAAAAATAAAAAATTAAAAACCTAAAAGAATGTCAGATGATAGTTAATAGGATGGTGAGTGATACTTAATTAAGTTGAGGACATACCTTTCCCCTTCAGCAATTGGTCTGCTTTTCAATTTTTACAATATAAACTTTTGTTTTGTTAATTAACTACTAGATACTGATAGAATATTACAAAATAGAAACATACAAGTGTACAAAACATGTAAGTTATTATAATCATATTATACATTTCTTTAATGACAAAGATTACATGGATATATATGTTTAATTGTTAGAATTCCAATAAAAGTGATCGAAAGTGCCAAAGCAATTGAGCAGTGCCAGTCTAGGTTGAATGGAAATGGGAACTAGAACAATAGTCCTATGATACAAAATGCGTGAGAAAATTACATATATAAAAAAATATAAGTGTACATTTTCAAATATTTTTCCTCATTTATTCATCAATATTAATTATTTATCAAATTCAAATTAAAAAAATTCTTTTAAGAACACTAAGA